CCCCAAAACCCCAAAACCCCAAAACCCCAAAACCCCAACCTTTTTGTTAAAAATTGATATTTAATCTATTCAGTAACCTCCTCAATGTCTTCAGGCTCTCAAATTTTAACCATTTTGATCGAATGTCTTGACCTCTTTCTCATCAGAGGATTCTCACAAGCATGAACTAACTCAAAGCATGGATGAGTGGGGTATTCGTTAACCTCAGGAGGATATTCAATATCTGTATGGAACAAAAACACTAATTTTCCACCCTTTTTGAGCAAGAACGATGCTATCTTTAGCAACTTGTGGTAAATTTGGTTGATTCCATAACTTTCTTTCTTTGTGAATATTCCTAAAGTTGTTTCATTATTAATCTTCCATTTAGACTCTTTTACACTAGCTACATCATTTGGCTGGGTCTTTTTACTACCAGCTTTAACTCCATATGGAGGATCACATACTATGGCATCAAACTTTTTCAGAAGCATTGTGGGATATGAGATGTCCATTGCAACTATTCATGGTTTAGGTAATCCGTAGTACTTGAAATTTGCAAAGACATCATATCTCTTAATCATTTCAGTTCCTGGAATTTCTTTATTTAGCTTTCTTCCCCACAGAATAACCTTGAAGCACTCGAAGATCAATGTCTGAGCCAAAGCAGAAGGCTTTTAGAGCTGAGCAAGCTATTAGAATACTTCCTGTACCTACGAATGGATCAAAAACAAGGTCTCCTTCCTTCAGCTCAGCTTGGTTTGCCATTAAGAAAGCAAGCTCGTGACTTGTTGAAGTTGGTCCTAAGTATGGGCGTGCTTTTAAATCATATTTTGCGTAGAAATTGCTTTTATTATTCTTCCAACTCATGCAAGCGACTTCAAGTCCCATGTAATACTCCTCAGTCTTGGGATTACCGACAACCATATAAGTTTGTTCAGGATCTTTCATCTCAAAGACAATGTCCTTAGGGGCATAATCTCCATATGGAGAAATAATTTCATTTCTTTCCTTTGGCTTAATTTTCTTCTTAATAGATTCTACCTTAAATTTAATGGATTTTCCTGAATGTAATGACTCTGTAAGTCTCTCCTTATCTACATTGACAAGTAGGTCTTCATAGCTAGTACCTTGGGAGAAGGGGTCCAGGATATATTTGATCATTACAGACCTTGATACAACTTGTCTAGCACCTTCATAATCAGGGAGATCAACCTCGATGAAAGGACAGATATTACAGTCAAATTTATCAACATCTGATAGGATTATGGGTTTGACTTCGTTCATCTCTCAGAGAGCTTCAAACTCTTGAATGCAGAAGTACCTATATTGCATCTTAATGGCGAAGCAGACAACTAAACGCATTTTTATTAAAAATTATTTATCTAATTATTTAGTGGCTCGTTATAGATTTTTGACAAATGGGGTTTTGGGGTTTTGGGGTTTTGGGG